TCACTAGAGCCCTATGTTCTTGATTAACCTAGGAAAAACAATCACGCTCGCGGGCCCTCTATATTACTGCTTAACGTCGTGAGCGCCCTCTAGTGGTTACGCCTACTTGTGATGATGCGCTGGGAACTCGTTCATCATTGGTTCGTTGAGCCAGTCTGTGACAATGATCTCATGCTCAGGTAGGTCAAAATCGTACAGGTGCGAATTTGGGTCGTCCGCCGGTGTCTGTCGTATTACCAGCTTGCCGAATAGTCCGTCGGCTCGCTGCAGGCCCGAGTGAGAATGCCAGAAATGCGTGCCTGGAGCAATCCGGGGGAAGGGAGAGGGGGTGGGATTAGAAGTGTGTATGCTGGCGGGTGTGGGGTAGAGATACTCGGGTTTATTTCGTTATACGAGTTGTGTGTATATAGACATAGTAATTTATAAAGACGCTAGTTGTGTAATACTAGAATCTAACTAGTATATTATTTCTATGGTCTAGTATGGTAGTATCTAGTATAGTATTGTCTGGTATGGTCTAGAGGGTATAACCAAAGACGCTATATACTTATCTAGTATATAGGGTCTTTGGTATAACCTTCGGAACGGACGTCATACGGAACAGTTTGTACTTATACATAGAAATAATATACCTACTAGTTAGGCTCTCTATAGTGTCTCTCTATATATATATATCTATGGTTCGATGTGAATTATGTGAAACAACCAGAAAACGCTTTCGTCGATTTTCGAATTGTACTATGGTTTGAGGCATTATAGGGTCATGGCCAGAATACTTGTGTCTACGCGAGGAAAAATGACTCGCGTTATGTTTTGACTACACGCGGTGAAATAATCCGTCTTTTTAAGCGCGAGCTTTATAACGCTGAGATACCTGATGCCACCGCATTTAACTTGACGTATTTAAGTTGAAGCTGACCTTAATATGACCGTTACTATTCAGCATTGAGTATTGGGGCAGCTAGGACGCTGGTTATGGTAACGACAAAGCGCATTGATCAGATCGGTTAGTTCGCCTGTAGTCAAAGTGAATAGCTCTCTGGTGGCCAAGACACATCCCGTGTACATCGTCATCATTAAAATGAAGAGATAAGGAGTTTACACTGCCCGGTTTTTTCAAGAGTTTTTTTTTAAACCGGATGTTTACTCGACGCATCGCTTATACGCATCTATCTTTGCGGTTTTTTATAAAATCTAAGGCTAACCATTCACTAACACTTCCGTATATTATTTCTCTAGTGTTTTTTGTAATTCGCTACAAATTACGTTTATTTGATACGCGCAGAGCACTCTGTGAAAGAGTCGCATTTCGCTTTAGAATCTGAAATTCGCGAACTAATTAAAAAGATTTTGAATTAACCGTAATTATGGTAATTACAAACGGTTTACGGTTAACGGGGGACTCCAATGTTAAAAAAAATATTGCGCCTTGTCAAGGCCGTAGCATCTGGCGGTCAGGGGGTGGTTGCTGGGAAAGCAGCTACCCCCTAGATTTTGGAAAAAAATGAAAAATAAGCTCAGGTAATAATTGAAAGTAACGCGAAAATAAAAGATTATAAATAATGGAACAAAATACATTACGTATTATACAATTTACGTAAATAATTACAAATAATAAAAACACAATTATAATCATTCAGCCTAACCCTATCCTGTCGACCTACAGTACAGTAAAATCCTTCGTATAGTAGCTTATTAGCTCTATGCGACAGTACGTGCAGTTTTTTTTTCAAAAACGTTTCCCCTCCAACTTCTTCCTCTTTTTTTCTTAATTATCCGGGCGTGTGGTATATATATATATATATATATATAAATATAACTCCCTTGGATATATTTAACTTCCCGAAAGGATACACCCAAGTCAAACAGAGTAATTCCCTGATCAACTGCCTGATAGCTGCCCTGATAGCTGCCTCAACAAAGAGTCGTACACACTCGCAACGAGCGGGCGGAGTGAGAGCGCGGGTGGGCGGAGATGCTCGCTGGATAATGTCTATAATACGTGTGCAGGCCACCTGAGAGAGAGAGAGAGAGAGAACGAGGGAGAGAGAGAAAGCGAGAGAAAGAGCGAGAGAGAGAGAGAGCGAGAAAGAGAGAGAGAGAGAGAGAGAGAGAGAGAGAGAGA